AAAATTTATGTGTTTCAAAAATATATTTAAACGCATATAACAATATTTATATTTATATACGTTTATAAATCAATATATAGGTGGATTGGATGTTTTCTAGAGTCGTTTTAACAAATGTTCGTTAGGCAAACCTTTACTCGGATAAAAACTGTGCGAAGCCGGGTACATTCGCTAAATACAGTTATTTACAAATATTCGTTTGTGGCAAGATACTATTCCTTCAACTTCAAATTACCGAGTGGACCAATTAATACTGATTTTTTCAAATTATCAAGTATTTTTCAAAGGACCGGGTAAAATTATCGAGAGTGTAGACAAATATAGATTCAGTAGGGATTGGATGTTTGCTAGAATCGTTTTAACAAATGTTTGTTAAGCAAACTTTTACTCGGGTAAAAATCGGGCGAAGCCGGGAACATATGTATATATATATATATGTTTGTCGGCTATGCGCGCCCTCAATATGTAACTAATCTCGCTGAAATTTGAACAGGACAGAGAGTTAAATCTGGAAGAGTTTTTTTGTCGCACTTTAACCAAGAAAAATTATATTTAACCAAGTACTGAGCAACAATATTTTTTTAGTCAGAAATGATGATGACAATATTGCCGTATCATGCTTGATTGCATTAAAAAAATATTTTGGGGAATATTCACTAAAGCAGACCACGGGGGAAGCCAGATAATGATTAATAGTAGGCAGGAACAAAATTCTACCAGCGAAACATTCACTCGAGCAGAAGACACACGAAGCCAGGTCATCTCTCTATATAAAATATCGTTTCTCGGCCTTTTGGCTAAGATCATGTAGTATATCTCTAGATATTTTTATTTATGTATATCTTTTTAAAAATCTATTCAGTAGAGAGAGTGGATATGTTTGCTCGATGGCTCGAAAAATAAATTTCATATATTATATAAATATATGACGTAACGAATTATATTATCATTATTATCATAATATTCTGTGTGTTCCCGAATATTATTATCAATAATATTCGTTAGGCAAACTTTCACTAGGATAAAACCCGGGCGAAGCCGGGTACACATCCGCTAGTATAACATATATATTGATTGATGAATATCGAGTAATCTCTTTTTGTTAAATTGAAATACGGGCATATTTTGGTTCAAATATATTTATTAAAATTCGATATTTCGACGAGGCTGTTCGCCTACCTTATTCTAAGAAAAAAATAAACTCTTGTAAGCTTATTATCCTAAATATATAATAAGCTTACAAGGAGTTTGAATTTTTCCTAGAAGAAGATAGGCGAACAGTCTCGTCGAAATATCGAATTTTAATAAATATATTTGCTCCAAAATATCCCCTTATTTCAATATATTTATAAATAATTATATTATTTTCTAATTAAAAAGGCATATATTAGATCAAAATATAATTTATTATACCAATATTTCAGTTGGGTGAACGCCAACCTTTTTCAAGGTATTATAACACATTAATATGTTAAGAAAAAGGCATCTCCTTATCGTGCAACTGAAAGTTGCTGATGGCTTGCGCCATCTGTCGGAATAAATATCAACTATTCTCGTTGATTTTTAATTATTCCAGAATTGGCCGAATACCCATACCTCGAAGAACCAAGTACAGTACATCTGATAAACTGGATGTCTACCATTAGACGTGAAGTCTCAACCCGGATAGTTGGTGATTTTAGTACGTGACTCAAGGAATCCAGGTTACCCCAAGAAAGAGAGAGAGAAGCAAATTTATGATTATAAAAAAGGCAGAATCATAAGCTTCAGAAAAGTTGTAATTTCTACAAGATAAATTGATATGAAATTAGGCTGCAATCAAAGTACTGTTGTAAGGATTTGGTCTCAGTGGTCAGAGGAAAAGTTGAATAAAACCTGGTTCAGGTTGCTCTAGAGAAACAAACGAGAGAGAGGATAGGAGGATTCAAAGTATGGTTGTAACAGACAGGACAACAACTGTACCAATGATTCAAGCAGCTCTACATGTGCAGAATGATTCTGGACCATCTCTGAACACCGTTAATAACCGTCTTATTGAAGCAGAACTCCGTAGTCACCGGCCTTTATTAAAAATTCCCCTCTCTGCCAGACACAGAAGCGACAGACTCAGCTGGTGTGAAGAGAGACATCTTTTGGTCTGAAATATTGAATTCTGTCATTTTTTATGATAGACCTAGATTCAGTTTGAAGGTTCATGAAAGAAGGTTGCAAGATGTAAGCGCAAAGAAAGATCCCATCAGGACTATATTGTAGAAAGACATACAGTAAGAACCCCTGGCTTCATTTCTGGGGTGGCATCAGATATGAAAGTAGGACCCTTTTAGTCTTCATTCAAGGTGCATGACTGCTCAGGTATACATTACCCATGTGTTGTAACCTGATGTGTTACCATTTATTGAACAGACTAATAATGCTATTTTCCAACATGATAATGCTCGACGACATACATTTAAAATTTCAAAAGCCTCCCTTTAAAATGTTGACATCCTTTCTTGGCCCGTATGTTCCCCAGAACCTTTCCCAATTAAGCATGTATGGGACATAATGGAAAGAAAAATTTGCAATCGCTAAAGCTAAATAATTTTCAACAGCTTCGAGAAAAAAATGAAATGGCTTTGTCTAGCATCCTACAAGAACTCATAGAATGAACTGTATGAAAATATGTGGGACCTCTTTAGTCTTTATTTAAGGCACAATGACTGCTCATCTATACATTTAAGATGTATTGAAAAACATTTTTGTTGTTACAGACTAATAATGCTATTTTCCAACATCATAATGCCCGACCACATACATTTAAAATCTCATAATCCTCTCTTTAAAATGTTGACATCCTTTCTTGGCCCGTATGTTCCCCAGATCTTTCCCCAATTGAGCATGTATGTGACATAATGGAGAGGAAAGTTTGGCAATCGCTACAGCCAAATTTTCAACAGCTTCGAGAAAAAAAATAAATGGCTTTGTCTAGCTAGGATGCTAGAACTCAGAATAAACTGTATGACAGTATGCCTAACCATATAGCTGCTAGTCTTCGTTCGAAAGTAAGACACACCAAATTTTAATATGTTCATCTCAATAAATTTACATTTATATTTTTCCATCATATAGTCCGTAAGTGTCCGGAGAAGGTCGAAAGAAGTTTTACGTCTATGTTGGAAGATGCTGGGATCCTATAAATCAACAATATCCTCCGGTTAAATTCCTTCTATATCACGACCATAGAATTGGCCTAGAGATTCTCCAAAATGAACAACTCTTTGACGGTTTCTGAGAATTTATAAATTCCTTGATGGATCTAATGAATTCAATGTCTACTCTGGACTGATAAGGGTCATTAGCTTGAACCCCGATTTTCAGGTCGTCCTTCTGGGTTTGCAAAAGCTGTTTCTGTCACCGACCCAATAGCTCATCAATTCTCAGAAAATTTACATATGTATTTCTAGATTATGCAAATATTTGGTGGCCAATGTAAATTTTTAACAATATAGTAGACTTAATATTTTAACAATGATTTTTCTTGATTTATCAAGAAATTGGGTTGGAAAAATGTCTCGGAACAAGTTAAATAAACGTTTAGTTTATTTTGTTCCACTAGATGGCGCTCTGCCATCTAGAAATGTTCGTGTGAGACTGGTCAGGAGATATGCATCTTTTATTTTTAATATAGTATACTAGACGGGTGACCCGGGCTTCGCCCCGGGATTGACCCGTGTGCATATCTACCCGAGTGATATATATTTAGATAATATTTTTTTTTATAATTGTTTGTTATTAGCATTATCTATTTGTTTGCATCAGCATAATTTAATCTAATCTTTGATAGAGGGCGCTGTTCGTGAGCTAAGTAGAATAATTTGAATATATAGTTTTAATAATTGATTTATATATTTTTTGAAATAGCCTATCGTCTTCCCCGTATTTTTTACCTATGTATGGAAATATTGGTTTGAATTAGTGAACTACTACGAATTTGTATACCGGACATACAAACATTTATTTTTATATATATAAATATAGAAGAAGTTGTTAAAATTTTGAAGCGATATAATTATACGAAAAATTTTATCTTATTTAACTCTGTGTGATTGAATTAAGATTAAAAAATACACAATTAATTGTTGATAACGTTGTCAATTTTATGATGGCTGACCACCATGCGGTGTGGAATGTACCTGCAATATCCACTGTATTCAGAGTGTCTATATGCCACACTATTCGTGGATATATATTTTATAAATCTATTTACTTTGTATTTACTAATAGTTTCTATAAATAGTTATTAATTTTATTCGTTTCAAATATTTTTGAAGTATTTGATGTCAACTATATTTATATATTTTACATAATTCCTTTACGCGGTCTCATGCAATTCTGGCCTTAAATACCCGTTTCATGATTTTTCAGGATGCCTGAATGACCAGTTTTTTGGTCGTTGAGGTACAGCTTGTACCACACTGATGAGGGCCAACAGCCCGAAACGCGTCCGTGGTTAGCTTCTCTTGATTAATCAAGAATGAGTATTTGGCCAATTCTGGAATAATTAAAAATCAACGAGAATAGTTGATATTTATTCCGATAGCTGGCGCAAGCCATCAACAACTTTCAGTTGCACGATAAGGAGATGCCTTTATCATAATTCCTTTACTCTATCGAGTAAAACTATCAGGCTTTCAGGTAAAAGTATATTTTCCAAAAGGCCTGATATTTTTAGTCAATATTGATATAAGGAATTATTTTATTGAATTCATTTACACTGTTTTGGAAAAATTTTAAAATAGTTTTTCAATGTGTTTCGTTCTCTTTACAAATCAGAATGGAAAGATGAACAATTTATTATATTTATTTTAAGAGAGGGAACTTCCTGACTTATGGCCTTTCTATCAACTATATATCTACATACAGCCTAACTCGAGCTGTCTCTATATAATAACATGATCAATCATGATGATAACCTTTCTTTAGTACATTCTATGAATTATTTACAGATTACATCACACTATGGTTTATAATTTTCTAATTATATTTTTCAAATTCCTCTTTAAATGTTATCCTTGGCTGATGGTGTTGGATAGGTAGAATTGAAGGCAAATAGGGAGAGAGAGAGATTGAGATGGAAAATTCTTTAATACATCGTCCATATAAGGTTAAATACATAAATGTATAGAATAAATAAAAAAATTAAATAAGGATAAATATATAAATAAATAGATATAAATATATAAAATAATTGATAAATATACAGTTAAACCTGTCTATAGCGCCTCCTCTTGGGACTCACCAAAATAGGGTGCTATAGACAGATCACTTTTAATGTAAATATCGCATCGTACTACGTATTTAAAATCGGGCGCTATAAAGAGGAAGGCGCTATTTAGAGGGGGCGCTATAGACAGGCTTAACTGTACATATATACTACTAGCCGAATGACCCGGGCAACGCCCGGGTTTTACCCGATTAAATGTTTTATTAAAATACTATTCTTTACAATTATAAATTGACGTCGTGAATGGCACACTTTTGAAACGTCCCGCTTCAATCTTTGTGTGTTTTTAAAATACAAAAATAAAAATGTAAATTTTCACAACGATATTTGAAACTTGTATTATTTAGATTTTTTGTATGAATATATTTTAAATCTGATATATACATAAAATGATATGATAATGATAGCAAGTGATTTCTTGTTCCTACCCTATCATTACGTCACTCAAGGTCACCGTCGCGCCACGTGGTGGCGCAGCAAACGGTGACACCTGAATGGCGCTCTCCTATTGGCTCGCTACGATCACGCCACCAAAAGCAAACGGTGACAGAACGCATGACGCTGATAACTGTATATAGAATGTCGTCCTTGGTGGCGCCCACCGCGAGAAAGACTCAGAAAGAGAGAAAGAAGGCCTCTCACTAAGTGCCACATATATTATCCGATAACTAAACTCTTTCTCGATTTGTTTGCAAATTTGGAAACAATGTAATATAAAAACAGAATTCATACACACGTGCAAACTAACAGATAATATTGGCAATAAAAATGTAAAAAATTAGTCACTGTGGTATCAACAGCAATAAACATATGGGATAGGCTTGTGGCATCAACATCAGCAACAAATATGAATTGGTAATATACAATATGCATGAAAGATAGGAAAGTTAAAGGTTATAATAGGCAGAAACAAAAAAAAAAGCAAATGGTTATATACAATATACAGGAAAAAGAGGAAAGTGAAAGACCTTTAGTATCACCAGCAACAACAAAAATCGATTTGTAATATACATGATAGATAGAAAAAGGAATAGGCTTACGACATGACCAGCAGCAACAAAATAAATGTTTGATATACATGAGAGATAGGGAATGGAGAGGTTCTTGTAGCATCAGCAGCATATAGAGTAATATACATGATACATATGAAGGTGATAAGCATGATGCCTCAGAAAATGAATTGGTAATGAACATGAATGATAGGAAAAGGATACAATGATAATTATATTGAAATTAAAATTAGTGTGTGTGTGTGTGTTATATATATTCTATGTATAGAAATTATTTACATTTTCTCACCTCTGCCACTACTGCAGAGTTCAATGAAATATCACCAGCGGGTTTTTCCATCGACTCCGTTTTTCACGATCTACGAAGTAAAAGTAGATCGCGTGCTTCGCCGCTGATGTGGTAAGGCTCAATGAAAAAATCCAGGACTAAGAAAAAGAACAGGCATATGATATCAAGAAAGGCAAAAAAATGATTTGACAATATAAATGATGAATAGGAAAGTGATAAACATGCAACATCAACCGCAGAAACAAAGATGAATCAGTAATATACATGAGGGATAGGAAAAGAAAAGGCATGCGACCTCAACAGCAGCAACAAAGATCAATTAGTAATATACATGATGGATAAGAAAAGGATAGACATGCAACATCAACAGCAGCAACAAAAATCAATTGGTAATATACAAAAGGGATAGGAAATGTATAGACATGCAACATCAACCACAGCAACAAAGATGTATTGATAATATACATGATGGCTAAGAAAGTGATATACATGCGACATCAACAGCAGATATACAAATAAATTGGTAATATCCATGAGGGATAGTAAAGTGATAAGCATGCGACATCAACAGTAACAACAAAGATGAATCAGTAATGTACATTATGGATAGGAAAAGGATAGACATGCAACATCAACAGCAGCAACAAAGATGAATCAGTAATACACATGAGGTAAAAAAAGAGATAAGCATGCGACAAAGATGAATTAGTAATATACATTATGGATAGGAAAAAGATAAGCATGCGGCATCAACAGAAGCATTAGGTTATCACTCATCCTTATCAGTTCTCCGTCCAGGAAACTCGCAGCGCTCTGGACTGGTGAATGATAAGGAGACGTGACTACCAACTCTTCCTGGACTCCAGGTCTTTCAGGATCCCCGTTGTAACGTAGGGGATTTGGCGTTAAGACATAATATTTCTTGATTATCACGCTGAGAAAGTAATGAACAAACCATCAAGTCGATTGGTCAATGAAGGCTGTACATTCTAAGAGATTTTCTTAGTCAGAATCCTGAAACTCCTGTGTTCTTGGAATACATAGTTGCAAGCAGGAACATCTTCTGAAACATTCCACAGATTAACAGTTCTATATTTCAATTCTGATAGTTCATTGAACATCATATTGAGTATTTATAACAAATGAAAAGACGCGTGTTTTAATGTTTTCATTTGTAATATATAGGTGGCGCGTTATTGCTTTATATTAATTATTTACAATAACATACAATGAACAATCTGAAGTGTGTCTCGATTTATAAAATAATAAAAAAATGACATAGATTAAGGTAACCCAATCTTCAATAAGAAACCACCCCTTAAATAAATATTTCCTTTTCCAGGTGGTCTCTAGAGGGCACTGTTTATGTCTTATATGTTTCATTGTAGAAAAAGTGGTGGCTTTTTTTTCGTAATATATAATGTAAAGGTTCGGGCGGTTAGTCTTCTATTGCAAAGGCATGTTATAGGAAACATATAAATTTGTTAACAATTAATATTTTTGAACACGAACCATCCTATCGCAATATTACAATATAATATTCTTTCATAAAGAAACGTTTTAGATTCTCGTACCGGCTGAAAAGTTGGCCAATAGCCTGAAACGCGAAAATGGTTGGCATTCCATGTTGAAAAAAAAAATATATATATATATATATATTTGTTCTCAGCATTCAGGAATAAAATTACATTGAGGTTTAGGTGATAATTATTATGATGGATGGCGCTCTGCCATCTTTAAATGCTGATTTGAGCGATCAGAGCATGCTTTTTTTAACAATTTTAAGTATTAAAAATAATAAAAGCATATCCTGGCCAAAATCACATGTGCTTTTTAGATGTCAGAGCGCCATCTAGTGGAACAGAAATCAACTAAACATTGATTTAACCTGTTCCCTGATATTTGACCAACCCAATTTCTTGATAAATCAAGAAAAGCCATCCACGAACGCGTTTCGCCCTGTTGGCGCTCGTCAGCATGGCTGTATCACTGCAAAAAAAAATATTTCTTGGTCCCAGAGGCTTCTTCAGAAACCAAGAAATGTGTATTCAAGACCAAACTTGCGTAAATACGCTTAAAGCATAAAAAAAAAAACAATAGAAAAAATAGGTAGGTGTTGATATTAAAAATAATAAATGCATATCCTGACCAAAGCACATGTGCTTTTTATTTTAAGTATCAAAAGGTATATTTCTCTCTATTTTCAACATTTATATACACATAACACATCCCAATAGCATTCCTACTTCTATCTTTCTCTCACTAAAGATATAGAATGTTGATTGTTTGTTCCACTGGCTGTCCCTTAATTTCCAACTATTATTCTCTCTATCGTTGTTGACGCATGCGCAGCGTCATTCCATTTTTATCACCGTTGCCTTTTTACGGGCAGAAATCCAACAAACTGGAACGTTCTCTTGGCAACACTTTAGATGATGTGAAACTGTGTAATTGTCGAAATTAGACGTACAGCAACTAAAACTTGAGCATTAAATTTTATTTAGCTCTTATTCTTTCGACTGGCCAACAACAACTATGTCTGATAAATATACATATATATTTACATAATAAAGCTTTAAAGAATGCGAATCATCTATTTACATACACAACAAATGTTCTATCAAAGATATCTTAGAGGTTAAATACATTTTTAAAAGCGACTTGTATAAATATTTCAGTTTTTCTTATTGCACCAGGCGTACAGATTTCGGTCTAGGTAGCCTACTATCCAATGGTGTCAATTTACAGTGCCGGCTTATGGGCTGAAAGGTCTGAAAGGACATCTGCTTCAAATATATCTTATTATAATGATATTTATGATATAATTATATCTTATTTTTCCTTTCATGATAATTTTTGTTTATTCATTTACTATAAATAGTTTTATAATATTTATTTTTAGAAATTCAACAACTATACATGAGATATGAAAATTCGATATTATTTTAGACGCGTAAGATTCTTTTTAAAATTAAACAATATCTACTGCCCTTACTGCAACGGAAAAATTAATGGGAGGGCCTGGCTCATCAGTGGTGAACCCTCGCAGCGGTTTCGCAAGTTTAATCTTACGCGTCTAAAATAATTTCGAATTTTCATAACAAATGGTGCGCTAGTGCATCATAATACATGAGATATATTTTTACATTTGTGAATATATGGAATAATTTATATTTAGACGCATAATTTTAAAATATATTAAATAGAATTGTTTGATGTCATCATTTTTTCAAAATGTTCATATAATTAATTTACTGAAGCTTTCAAAAATAGCTATTGTTTTATGCGTGTGGATATTTTGTTTATCAATGTACTCTGGGGGACTAAGAGTTTGCAACATCAAGCTACTGGATATAGAACTATGCAAATTTTAAAGTTAGCCATCCAAGTTGTGTAGATAATATAAATTGTGAAGCTATACCGCGTAATACATTGTACGATGGTATTCATGGAATATTCAGATCAAGTTTCAATATACGAGTATACAGTTAAACCTGTCTATAGCGCTCCCTCTTGGGACTCACCAAAATAGGGTGTTATAGAGAGGGGGTGATATAGACAGGTCACTTTTAATGTAAATCGCATCGTACTACGTTTTAAAAATCGGGCGCTATAGAGAGGGAGGCGCTATTTAGAGGGGGCGCTATAGACAGGCTTAACTGCTTATTGAGGTAAACAATAAAAATAAATATTGCCTCTCTCGTCAAAATAGACGATAAAGCCAAGCGCCATCTATTGACCGCAATCATAAACAAGCAGACTCAGTTCGGTAAAAAAGCCACAACACCAGCTTTGGAAAACTGAGAAGCGTCCATCTAGATTCCATTGTTTCGGGCCCTTATCAACCTAGGGTGGACTTTATTCCATGAGATCCACAAAGGATTAAATGATATCTTCACAATTACCATTAGCCCAAAACCATGGTCTCTAGGTGGATGCTTCTTAGTTTGCCATAGTTGGTATTGTGGATTTGTCACTGACTTGATTCTGCTAGTTTGCGGAGAGTGTCAAAATATGGCGCTTAGTTTTAGCCTCTATTTAGACGGGAGAGGTGACCTTTATTTTTGTAGATTGATTTCCTTCAGACAAAATTTCCATCTATCTTGATGTGAGCTTGTATGTTCTCCTCGCAAGAGAAAATCAATATAGTTTAATACATTCAATGAGGCATTTCTTTGATCTATTTATTCAAAAATGGAAGTGTATTCTTGAATATGGGAATATAGTAGAACCTCCCTTCAGCAGACACCTCGCTATCGGACACCTCTATACAAAGAACAGTTTTCATTTGCAAAATTAGTAAAACCTCTCTTTAGCGGACACCTCTATACAAAGAACAGTTTTCATTTGCAAAATTAGTAAAACCTCTCTTTAGCGGACACCTCTCTACAAAGAACAGTTTTCATTTGCAAAATTAGTAAAACCTCTCTTTAGCGGACACCTCTCTACAAAGAACAGTTTTAATTTGCAAAATTAGTAAAACCTCTCTTTAGCGGACACCTCTATACAAAGAACAGTTTTCATTTGCAAAATTAGTAAAACCTCTCTTTAGCGGACACCTCTCTACAAAGAACAGTTTTCATTTGCAAAATTACCATTTTTACTATTTAGAAACTCTCCAGTAAGAGGACACCTCTCCCTAAAGGACACTTTAGCTCTGCAATTAGATGTCCTTTACAGGGAGTTTCTACTGTATCTGCTCTTTGGTGAGGGGACACCTCTCTCTAAAGAACACTTTGGCTCTGCAATTAGGTGTCCTTTACAGGGAGGTTATACTGTATCTGCTCTTTGGTAAGATGACACCTCTCCCTAAAGAACACTTTGGCTCTGCAATTAGGTGTCTTTTAAAAGGAGGTTCTATTGTATCTGTTCTTTGGTAAGAGGACACATCTCCCTAAATAACAATTTGGCTTTGCAATTAGGTGTCCTTTACAGGGAGGTTTTACTGTATCTGTTCTTTGGTAAGAGGACACATCTCCCTAAAGGACATTTTGGCTCTGCAATTAGGTGTCCTTTACAGGGTGGTTATACTGTATTACTCTTCAGCACTATGCATCTGTGGCGACCACACTTTGTTTCAGCGAGCGCGAACTGGGACAAAGCTTCACTAAACATACGGGCAGTAGTGTGACGGCCTCGGCAACCGCGAGCGGCAACCTGACTACGCATGCGCGGGCGGCATCCGGGACTCTGGCCATGCGCGTCGTCATCAACAAGGCTTGGTTCCAATGGCCGTTACTTATTTTCTCTTCATATATTTCTGGCTTTAAATAAATTAACTTATTTAAAAAATAATAATTATAATTTTATCAGCGGCCTTTCCACAAGCCACACCAATACGCATGCAACCATTCCCACACATCTATATTATGTTTAAGATTTATTTTGGGATCATTATTGATAAAAATGGTCCAATTTTTCCTTAAATAATGGTTATATTTTGTCACAGAGAGAACAGACATTCTATGAGAACAACTATAATATAAGAAAATTGAAAATATAGTCTAAAAGGATTTATTATTAAATTAAATTTATTAATGTGTGTATGCATTAGCGTGTCATCTGTTTTAAGGGAAAATACTTTTGAAACGCGTTTGTTTCTTTTTAAAATAAAATATTCTTTAATTAAAAAGTCATATATTGGATCAAAATATAATTTATTTTACCAATATTTCAGTTGGTTGAACGCCAACCTTTATCGAGGTGTTATAATATATTAATGTTTTATGAAAAAGGCATCTCCTTATCGTGCAACTAAAAGTTGCTCATGGCTTGCGCCTTCTATCGGAATAAATATCAACTATTCTAGTTGATTTCTAATTATTTCAGAATTGGCCAATTACCCATTCTTTATTAATCAAGAAAAGCAATTCTGGCCTTAACTACCCGTTTCTTGATTTTTTAAGATGCCTGAAGGACCAGTTTTTTTGGTCGTTGAGGTACGCTGATGAGGGCTAACAGCCCGAAACGCGTACGTGGTTATCTTTTCTTGATTAATCAAGAATGGGTATTTGGCCAATTCTAGAATAATTAGAAATCAACGAGAATAGTTGATATTTATTCCGATAGATGGCGCAAGCCATCAGCAACTTTCAGTTGCACGATAAGGAGATGCCTTTTTTCATAATATTAATGTGTGTCTATTTAATTGCAGTTAGGGCAGTAGAAAATTATTTTATTTTGAATTGAAATAAACACGACAAAAATAGTTTCAATTTCTGATAACAGATGGCACAACTGAATCATGTTAATAATCTGTATAGATTCGAAGGGAAGCAATACAAATTTAATTGAGAATATAAACAAAAATGAATAGGCATAATTAAATATATATTAACATTTTAACTGATATAAAATCAGTTGAAATTCTATATAGATATATTTACGTTTAAAATATTGTCACAGAATAATTATTTTTGAATATTCTGTTGTTTATCATCATAAATATTTGCATAGTCATCACCCCTTACCATGCTTGTATATTACCACTTGAAAAATCAATTGACACATTTTGCGAAATAAAAGTTCAATTATTAAATTATTTTTAATTAAACTTTTGGAATACTTGTCTTCACTATCGTGACAATATTTTATATTTTATGTGATTTCACATTAGAATATAAACTGTATTGAAAATATTTGCAAATTGCTTTATCTCAATATATTTATAATGAAAAAAAATTTTTATACTCATTAATTAAATATACAAATACTAGCTCATGAGAGAAGAGAGAAATTCTAAATATAATTAAAGGAATAATATTTAAAGGAAAATTCAAGGAATAAATAATTATATTTGACCAGCAGCCTTTCTAATCAGCCGATTCGTTAGTTGGGCTAATTGAAATTGTGGCCTTTTAAGCCAAGCAGCCGAGGCTGCAATTAATTGTCGCCATGACAACCGTGCAGCAGTCGTCTGGAAAAGAAAAAAAAAAGGCGGCAAGTTGGAAATTTTGATAAGATCGGCTGCGTTGAAATGTCGATTTTTACTTAAAATGGATTTTTTTAAGCGAATAAAATTGGGAGTTACTACAAATTTTTCGTTGTAATACATAAATTTGATATATTACACGTAATATTAAATATATGGTATTATATTCAATAAACCTATTTTTCGTTTAAAAATCAGTATTTTTATTGTGGAAATTTTCCTATTTAAAATTTGAAATTGTCGTGAAGTTATAAAAATATGGCGAACATAGCGAATTTTGCAGCCACCTTCATAAATAGGAAAATATATTTGATTTAAGATATTACTTCAATCCTTTTTTTTTTTTTTTAGAATTCTCTCCCTCAAGTAAGACCCCTTGAAATTTGCTATATACGCTATAAAATAATTTTGCACCAAAGTATAAATAAATCTAAAAATATATTTGAAAATTATCCCGCATGAGTTTCTTTTCAACGAAAAATCAAAATTTATTCCAAGGAGAAATAACGATTATTTCTAACCTTAGGGATGAGGTATGAAAGGATGAATTTATTTTTCCGTTTATCATTACTCTTCACAATTCATACCTCATCCCTAAGGTTAGAAATAGTCGTTATTTCTCCTTGGAATAAATTTTGATTTTTCGTTGAAAAGAAACTCATGCGGGATAATTTTCAAATGTCGTTTTACAATCACAAGCCGCATTATATTATATTGTAATACTCAAAAAATATATTTACTTTGATAATGTACAATTTGGATTATAGATTATAATACAAGAAAATAAGACCTAATCCAAATAATTTAATAGTGTGTGACGTTTCAGTAACAGCATTGTTACCATCATCAGACAAAATAATAATCGGACAGCATTGTCACCATCATCAGACAAAAGAATGATCAAAAGACATGTACTTTAATTAATAGAATGGAAGAAAGAGGAAATGATATTTACAGATATGCCTTTAATTATATATATATTTTTAAACCCACTTTAAATTCTATGAAAAAATATTTCAAGTTGTCTCAAAAAACTATTTTTCCTTATCTGCTATCTTGTTTAAACACTTGTGATAACAGTCCTAATCAATAACTTCCTGTGATATTTTTTTCTCATTTATTCTTTTGCCTGATGATGGTAACAATACTGTTGCCGAAACGTCACACATTAATAAATTATTTGAATTAGGTCTTATTTTCTTGTAATATTTCTATTCTGAAAATAGAGAAATCCATATTCAAATCTTTGAATAATAAAAAGGTAAATATTGGATTGAGAATAAAAGATTCATTTGCTAATATTTCGGTTGGCTGAACGCCAACCTTTGTCAAGGCATTACATTTGTGTATAAACAAACTCAGCGCCCTATACCATCATTATATTACAGTTACAATAATATTTTTAAATACTGAGTTTGTTTATACAAAATGTAATGCCTTGACAATGGTTGGCGTTCAGCCAACCGAAATATTGGCAAATAAATATTTTATTCAATCCAATATATACCTTTTTATTTTCTAAATATATTTCTATTTCTTAGACGTTGTAAAAGTTAATTGTTTTCGTGTTGTAGTAGTGATGGTAGTACGTATCCCAAGTACACTTAGTACAGGTCATGATAATCATGGTTGATAGTTACTGTTTTTACTGTAAGTGCACAACTTGTTTATACGTGCAGAAAGCAGTTCGACTTTGACACCTATAAATATGCCAGAGCCTCGTTTGGTTGCTTGCATTTATTGGTGATGACGGTGGAAACGTGTTCTAAACCTTTGGTTTTCGACCTCTACGACCCGGGATCGAATTCCGCTTTGGACACTTTTTTTATTAAAAAAAAAATTCCAACGGTCCTCGATTTTTACAAAAGTCCAACCCCAACAGCGAGTGCTAGTAACCAAACAGGCATATTTGTATGTGCAAAATCGAACCGCTTTTCATATGTGTAGACATGCGGAGCACTTACAGTAAAAGCAATCGCCAACTTCTACCCACAATGATTATCATGGCTTGTACTATGTGTATTTGGGATAATAAATAAATGGTGGGGTTGTATATTTGTAGAATTTCTATTAGGTATTGAATGACAAGATGATACTGTTGACCTCTCCTGGATGTAGTGTCCTCATTGTGATGGTAAGATTGAGTTAAATGCAATTTAAACATTAGAAAGTTAGGGGCTCAGGCCAGGTGATTGAGAAGTTGGACTCTACTTCAAAATATAGCGATAATATAAAATAACAAAA